GCGAGGGACGGCGACGGCGCAGCGACGAGAGCCGAGTCGCGAGGTTCGGCTTTGAGAACGGGGAGGAGAAGTTCGAGAGCAGCTCTACTCCTGCGACCGATTTGAGGGTGGAAGGATGGTGGAAGGCGGTTGGGGGGTGAAATGATGGAGTGGCAGCTGAGGAGAGAATGGAGAATGATCATACAACTGCCCAGTGAAGGGTGAAGGGAAAAAGATTGGGTTAAGGAGTTTATTTTTCCAACTGGACTCCGAAACGTGGAACCCCCTATTACATTCTTGAAGTACACAAGGTCCATAGAGGAATAAACTTTGCAGAGGTCCATGGCCAGGCTTGATTTTCGTGAGCCCAGGTGTACTGCTGGGCGGCAGTACAACCTGTTGGATCATGCGAAAACAATGGGAAACAGATATATAGAATATCCTGTGGGCGAACGGGCAAGCGGCCGTTTTCGCCTCCCAGCATTTCTTTGTGGATGACCAAATCTGATTGATGCCGCAGTTCTGCGCACCTGGCAGTTTAAGGTCGGTGTTTGTCGACTCAGACGAGTGACTCAGACCTTGTAAGGTTGAAATTATATATAGTCAAGTGGAAGGGAATAATCACGAACAGGCTACCTGAGTTCTCCTTGCTTTAGCAAAAATGTATTGTAAGCAGGACTTTGCCATTTGCCTAGAGTTTGGTCCGGGAAATATATAAAACATCAGTTCAAAGAAGTTGTCTAAACTCACATTATAGCAGTATAGCAACTCAAAATTGACCACAGAAAACATAACAGACTATTACCTCATTCATTCCACAAAATCATCACTACCTCCTATATCATCATCTCATTATCTCATTCATGTTCATAAACATAATCACTACCTACCATATATCATCATCTCATTCATGTTTCACAAAATCATTACTGCCTACCATATCATCATCTCATTCATTCCTCAAAAATCGTAACAACTTACAATCTCTATACCTCATCAATTTTAAAGAAATCATAACAGTCAATACATCATCACCTCATCCATGCCATACCCAAAACAAAATAACCAAACAACAAACAAGAAAACAATCAAAACAAAGCACAACAACAAAAAACAACAAACAACAACCATATAAATCCTTTACATTTAATAATACTGTCTTAGCATTCCATAGTTCTGATAATGATATTTTTAGAAGTATGCTAGTTAAAAAGTCTCTCTATGTGTCCCCTAATCCCCTCCATATCACAATACTTCTTATCAGACCCTATCAGGTCATCCATATATTCAATAAGAGATGTCCTAACAAACTCCTTTAAACATATATATATATTCCGAATTTCTATACATAAACATTTCATCAGTAATAAAACCTAAACAACTCCTTAAACTCTTTTTGGATGATTGTATTTCCTCACAGCATACTGTATACCAAACGACTTAAATGCTTGTAGTGTAATTTTATTGTTGATGTATTTGTCCTTCACACTTTGTCTATCCAATAGTCTGTCAACTACCTTCTTAAAGTCTTTGTCAAAACTGGACTGTATCTCAATAGATATATGCTTCTTGTAAGGTCTGAAAAGACTATGTGTAATTCGGGTTTTGTTAAACCATGATTATAGTTCATATATTCTGTGAAGAAGTCTTTTTATCTCTCCTTCAACTATTCACACCTCAAACAACAAAAATACTAACCTTACAACATATGTCAACGGGCAATACATCCATCAACACATCCCTTTTTCTACCCTGGTGTAATTTACACATGTCACACTCACTATAATTACACAGTGTCATTATTTACTAATATGTTAACATACTATTGCTTCAAGTATACTAATATGTCAACGTACTATTGCTTTAAGTATATATTCTCATATTAAAATACGGCATTCTTTAAACATTAACTACCTAAAGATAAACTAGTTAAATACTATATATATAGTATTATATGATGAAAAAAGTAATAATAGATTATTTGTTGGGTACTGATTTAGCAGAAATGTCAAAAAGAGGAAGACAAGAATTGAAGTCCATAATCATAGATGACAATAAATTCAGATACAACAAAGACAAACCCATATCAAATGGTTTAACAAAGAAATTACTATATATCAGTAAAGAAAACTAATGAATACCGAAGTTATGCTTTAAACAAGGCAAAGGGTGCTTTCAATGAAGGAAGAGTAAGACAATTACTGACTAAACACGCAATAATAAACAAATTCAGGGTCAGAGATATTCAATCAGCATTTAAAAGATATGCTAATTCAATACTTTTTAGAAAATAATCACTTTGAAGGAGAATGAGGATTGTAAATGATTGCGCATGTAAAAGACAGATTGTTGGAGTTTTTAAGAAAGAATAGAGGGATGCAACTTAACATAAGAACGGAAGGATTATTTGAGAAACCTGAATATGGTGATGGAGGAAAGGAAATTGGCAGTCAGGAACTCGTATATGCTTTACCAACAACATATTATCCAATTCATAATTTAGATGAACTGACACAAGCATTGGAAAGAAGTGTCGTTCAAATCCTATTACACATACAATATTAAGAAGCATCAACATCTAATTTAAGATTCTAAAAGAAAGTATCAAACACCTTTCATTATGGCTCATTATGGCAAATTTGGCCCAAAAAGAGCGGGCAGTTTATGGAATTACCACAATGGATTAAAGAAAGCATGTATCAGCACTAAAAACAAAGACCAAACATGCTTCAAATACTGTATTCAATCCAGAGTCTATGACAAAATAAGCAAACATCGAGGAGATGACCTACTATAATAAATTGAATGATGACATTTTGAACTGGGATGGTGTATAATTTCCCAACTGGCAATAGGGACATAGACAGATTTGAAGAAACAATAAAGTAGTTTCAATATATTATCAGTTTTAACAATTTGACTGCCTTAATGATAATATTATCATACATAGAAGCACTAAAAATAGACATGCTAAATATGAACTTGACTTATTAAAATCTATGATGAAGATAATAACTATCACTATGTATTAGTAAGAAACAAAAATAGACTACTTATATAACTGCCAATGCAACAAATAAATCAACAAGAAACATTATTGTCATCATTGCTTAAACCCGTTCTCATCAGAAAAGGCATGTAAGAAACATCTTGAAAAGGATGTATGGCATCAGAGGGGCAACAAACTTCTTGATAAATACACTTATATAGAATTTGAACGGCATCATACTAAATTGCGAGGTCCGTTTGTTATCTATTGTGATTCTGAATGTCTAACCACTAACTATCATACCAGACTAAAAGGAACAAGAACGTGCCCGAACGTGCCCTAAGTTGCCCTCTACCGAGGGGAACTTACCAAGAACATAAACCATGCGGTTGTAAGCCGTATTATATACAGAGGTGAGGATTGTATGAAACAGTTTGTAGAACAACTGACCGAAATTAAGAAAGATGTATTTTTAAACAAAAATGAATGTTAATAAAACAATGGATGATTTAACTTGCCAACAAAAGACAGAATTTAGACAAGCAACCCTCTGTTCTATTTGTAATAAGAAATTTGAACCTGATGAAGACAAAGTTAGAGACCGTTGCCACTTTACAGGCAAATACAGAGGCGCAGCGCATGTAAAATGTAATCTGGATCATTCATTTGGATATTTTAAAATCCCTATCTTCTATCATAATCTCAGAAACTATGATGCTCACTTAATCATAGCAAAAGCAAAGGAACAAAACATAGAACTAAACCAAAACAAACGGATAGATGTAATAGCGCAAAACAGTGAACAGTTCATAACCTTTTCATTTGGCGCTTGCCAGTTTAAAGACAGTTTTGCTTTCTTAACGGCATCATTAGATAAGCTAGTTAGACTAAACAAATATGAAGGACATGAACAGATTAAAGGTTTGCAAACTCGTTTCAGATATACAAGCACCAACCCATATTATATTAACTCTAAAACTCTTTTTATTTTTTCTGACTGATAAGGGTGTATATACCTATGACTATATGAACTCATGGGATAAATGGTGAAATAAAACTACTGAAGAAAGAATATGTTTACAGTCGATTATACGACAAACACATAACTGACAAAGACTACGCCAGAGAAAATATTGTTTGGAACCATTTAACATTTAAGAAAAACCTATTGGTGAATATCATGATGTATATTTGATGACTGATGTATATTTACTAACTGATGTCTTTGAACATTTTAGGGATATGTGCTTAGACTATTGTGGGTTAGACCCAGCATACTATATCACGTTACCAAATTATTCTTGGAATGCCTTTTGTCACTATATAACAGGAGTGAGACTACAACAAATCCACATAAAAGAAATGTATGAGATGATCGAACATGGATTGAGAGGAGGAATGACAGTGCTTCTTCAAGAAAGTAGAAGCAAACAGTAAATACATGAATGAAGATTATGATAGCTCTAAACCTTTATCATACATAGTTATTTAGATGCTACTGATTCTTATTGAATTAGCAATGTGTAAGAAACTGCCTTTTTAAATTGTATTATGGCAGAATGGATGAGAAGAGCGTAATGAAATATAGTGATGATGATGACGACATAGGATACATATTAGAAGTTGATTTAGATTACCCAAAGGAACTTCATGATTTACATAAAGCCTATCCATTAGCACCTGAAATCATGTGTATCAATGAGCGTATGCTTTCGCACGTCCAAAAGGATATACACAAATACGATTATGGAAAAGATGATCGTGATGACAATGCACATAAATTAGTACAACATGTAATGGATAAAAAATATATGAGCTACGGTCAAAACTTACGTAGATCAATTTAGTAAGAAGGGGGCGTTTTTGTAAGGATATGTGGATGAAACACTGCCAAAACCCTGCAAAGCGATATGGGTTCCACCAAATAGCGATACCTACAACATTCATGATTTTGGATTCGACTTACGCATAGGTGCAAACTTGAGTGCTGTGTGCAGCCATTTGTTACTAGGCTCAGAAGCGCAAAGATAGGATGGCGCAGTTTGAGATTTGGGAAGCATCCCGTATTCGTGGGGGCACCTTTTCCAGTACATGGGTGCTTAGCCTTCATGATGGGAAGCGACGAGTGGCACGTCTTGTCTCTCGAGCCAGCAGATGTGAGATCGAGCGGCTGCAAGAGCAAGCAAAATCATCAGGTTTGACAACTGTAGCTCAACTCAAGCAGAAAGCTGCTGCTGTCTTTCAGTGTAGTTTTCTTGGTAGCTTATTTTTTGAAATATACAAGATAATTAGCGATACACCCCTAGCGATAACCTAGCGATACCCATTTGTTGCAGAAGTAGTCCTTCCAAGACAGAGACCCACAAAGAAGGAAGTTGTTAACCATCTCAATGCTGATTTCGCTACATTTGCTGCCATGCCCAGAAGTCAAGCTGAAAGAGACGCTTTGGATAGATACCTGGCCCATGTCGTGACGGATCCAACGCAATGGGGCCTCTATTCATTCACTTCAGGAGCTTGTGCAGCTGGTCAAAGAGCAGTCAGCCAAGCAAAGATCTGCTGATCCCACTGCAAAAGTCATCGTTATCCACGATGAATCTGCAAAGCCAGCACCTGGAAAACGTTTATTGGCGACAGACTTACACATCACTCGAACCTATTGCATTGGCTCCCAGCTTGCAAATGCTAAGATTTGGCGCCTGGGTGACAAAGTCACGAACTACGTGTTCAGTACACAACTACACAACATGCCGGCACAGATTTGACCAGCCAGCTCTGGGAAGAGGATACAGAAGCTCCAGGTGATTGGCGGCGAGGCTGCTACGGAAACGGTGAGAGCAGTTGGAATACCAATCCATTGCCTTTAGACCGACACCAGGAAACTGCGCTCACAAAGCGGCAAGGTGCTCAGCAACACTTGCTGGGTAATACGTGGCTGCTGCGCCATCGGGCGCCTTTGACTCCAGAAGAGTTAGCCAAGAAAAAGGAAATTTTCCTAGAACGGCGTCGTCAACAAAAACAAAGACGAGACAACCGAGCAGGTGGCGAAGCTGAAGCTTCCAGCTCCAGCAGCACCAGCACCACCAGTTCAGAGGAAGACGGTGAAGCTGCAAACTTTTGAGTGTCGCGAAGAAAATACATGCACGGCCTTCTTTGACTGCTGGAAGTTGACATCAACCACATTGTGCTTTCATACATAAAGGTCCAGCACTTGTTGTTGAATTTCTGTTTTTGGCGCCGAACTATGTAAAGCGATATGGGTCCCACCAAAAAGCGATACCCTCAACGTTTGCTACTGGCCTTAGACATGAAGTTTTGACGGCGCCTCATATATGTTTTACATATATCAGCACTGAAGTTCTATTTACAGCATGAATTAAGTCTTAAACAAGTCCATAGAACAATATGCGTTAAACAAGTAAACTTCTTAAAACCATTCATTGAATTCAACACCGAAAAGATAAATAATGCAAAACATGGTTTTGAAAAAGATGTGTTTAAGTTGATGAGTAAGAGTGTATATGGCAAGACCATGGAGAATGTAAGAGGAAACATGGTGAAAGCATGGTGATATAGTTAATACACCGGACTCCGCTGCGAGTACGCCTGCTATCGGCTCTCCAAGGCATTCGCCGATTGCTGGGGCTCGAGGATGAGGAGGTGGGAGGGGCTCGCCCGCTTGGCAGCACTCCTGACCTCGCCGATTGCAGCCAGCCTGAAAGCACTTTCATATCGGTTTTCTACCCCACTGTTTGATGCGAAAACATGCAAACCTAGTACATCCTAGTGGAAGCCTATGAAAACCTCTGGAGACAGACCATACAATTTGTAGAGGAGAAAGAAGTTATGTCGTAAATCTGTCCGCTGAGGAGAATAGCAGTATCCTTTCTGTCGGCTTGAAAACAAGGTCAAGGTTGCAGATCGTTGATTCAATCGAAGGTCCAGGTATCTTCTGACGATTTTAGACGTGGCTTGGAGATGCTTGGAGGTTCAAATACTCACCAAGATTGTACATCCTGCTCTCGACTTTTTGGGATCCATTATAACGCATCAACTTCAAAGACTCTCGTGAATCCGATTCATCGATTTGCTGTCCTTAACATACAATTAGGATCGCAGGTGGGTGAGTTTGCATGCTCCTACTCTTGACATCTCTTGACGGGAAACACTCGGGCACATCGTCGTCTTCAGACCACCTGGGGCTGGGCGGCTTGGCGTGACGGTCGACCGGGTGAACCGGAGGACCCGCGGGACTTTGTGGAGCGCGTGTGGCTCCCGGTCTACAAGTTCGAGGCGGGGTGCTGGACACGGGGGTCGCTCGCAGCCGACCAGTTAAGCCTTCTAAGGAGCCTTCTAAGCCGGGCAAAAGGCGGCTGAATACAACCAAAAAGAATGCAAGTGGTTCCATGCTTACTCCTGTAGGGGTATCCTTTATTTTGGATGTTCAACAGATCTTCACCCCTAGACTAGAGTTCAACACTTTGAGCCACCCCGGAGTATAGATACAAAGAAGTGATTGAAGTATATATTGAACTGAACTTGATGTCAGTGGGGTTTCACTTGTTTCATTTCTGTTCTCATCCTCCAACATTTCCCCAGCCTCTTTCGGAGTTCGACACGATCTTCCGTTTCCTTCCACCGAACGATGGTCGAACGACGACACTTCCCCCAGATGCCTTCGGCGACCTCAGGTGCCTTCGGGCATTGCGGGTGAAGCCTGGGTCACCCGCTCGCGAAGCCTCTTGCTGGGCGACAAGGACCCGCCGCGGCAGAACAGAGCCAAGACGCCGAAGCCCGTGTCCCGGGAGTAGGAACACGCAACCGGCAGGTGCCGGAGTAGGACTAATTAGTTGAAAGGGGGCTTGACTGGAGGACAAGTGGACAACTGAAAAGCCATTGATGATAACTAGAAACTCGTAACCTGACAGATGTTTGGTAGAGAAAGATCTTCCCACTTCCCAATTTAGCTCAACTCTGGGAGACCTCCAACATTACGATAGACTTACTGGAGTTATAAGTGTAATATTGAATTTGTGCTGGCGCGAGCACAGAGCACATGTTAAGACCAGATACTTGATATCATATATACTGTACATAGTAATGTTATATCTTGTAACATCATTAACGCAGGATGGCACCTGGTTCCAATCACACTGTAGCTTCTTGCTACGCTCTTTGCCGCGGTCTGAGCCGTGCCGGTGTTCATGTCATCAGTCTGCGAGGATGATGCTGACCACAAGGTGCTTTGTAATGCGACCACACGGAAGTTTGAGGCACCGCCGGAGACCGCTCCACCGAACGGGGAACGTTTGTTTCGACTGGTCAGTCGACTGACGGCCGGTGTTGCTTGCGGTCGGTGAAGGGTCTGACATGACGCTTTTGCCAGTGAGCACCGTTGGTTTCGAACACCCACAGCCTTTACAAGCCCACGAGAGGGAGAAGGAACATTCCGAAATGGATGCCAAGTAAGAGGCAAAAAGGAAAATAGGTGGGTTTGGTTTGGACCTTTTGAGAGTCATGATTCATGATGACACAATATATCGTATGGGATGCCATGCTTCTATGGTCAGTCTTAACCATCCCAAAGAGTGTTGAGCACAGAGACTTGATCGAATAAACACACACACACACATTTGAAGAGCATTTGCGCAGTATCTTCATATTGCGATGGAGTCTGAAGAGTTCAGAAAAGAAACAAAGTACCATGTTCCTGTGAAGAGCTGTTGAAAACCATGCAATTGAATGCAATTGATATATGTTTGATGACGATCAGGGTAAGAAGCAGGCTTCTTCTGCAAATATCATCCACGTTCAGACATGGCCAGGGGGACAGTGATGAGGAGACGCCCTGGCAGCTGACGCGCGGCTTTACCCGGGCTGCTTGGCTGGAGATCGGTCAAATTGAGTTAGGTGGGGACATGTTCGTTGGCATGAGGGCCAGAGTGTATTGACACACCCTGCATTAGGGGAAATGTCAATAGGAGCGAGAACTTGAAGAAACGACTGATGTTGACAAATGCCAAAAGATGATTTCGCCAGAATCTGTGAGGGACAAACATTGGAAATCAAGGGTGTTGGGTGAGGCTGGAGAAGAGTTGGAAGATGCGAACTTAGCGGACTTAGCAGGTGGGTTAAGCCAAAAGGTCTCGGCGTTGCGAATTCGCTCGGAGATGGGAGGCTCGGTCAGAGTCAAGGACTTTCGCAAGGCGTGGAGTAACCTCCGAACCACGTTTGGTGCCTTCTCACCCACCCACCAAAGTCAAAAGTCCGATATTCCAAGACCTTCGGATGAATCGCACATCATCCAGAAGCACTCTCCCCATCCACGCCGTGATTGAGCAGCACTCTCTCCCCCGGTCGTCCACCGGAGCGTCCGCTGAAGAGGTCGGACCCATGAAGTCGGCGCCGGCGGCGCTGACGCCCGGCCAGACGCCGGCGAACAGCAAGGCGGCGTCCTTCGACTGCACGCCCGGGAGCCCGGGAGGTGCTGCAGGGTGAGTGGAAGATGTGAGGAAAGTGGGGGACTTTGAGACTTTGGAGGGGTGATTGGGAATGATGTGGAGTGAAAACCACGGCCTCGGAAACAGTGATGACTTTGTTAGTGACTGGGAAGGATTAAGACCCACAGCCTTGGAGCAACCAAGATCCGGTGAAAACGATGGTGAGAGATGTGGAGTCCTCTCCAACTGCTCGTGTCGACTTGCGCACCTCCGTGAGGCCGAAGCGCAGCCCGGTGCGCAGCGGACCAACACCATTGAAGAAACAGGTGCGTTTGCCCAAGGCGGGATGAGTTGAAGAACATGGGAAGGGTCAAGCAATGCGAGATGGAGTTGGAGTCCAAAACACCATCACCAGGTGGCGAGTTTTATGTGGAAATTGTCTGCCGTCTTTGGGTTGTTTATGGTTGTTTGTTGGCGTCCGAGCCTGGGTGAAAGGTTCTCTATTGTTCCGTGTTTTTTCCTGATGGGTCAAGACACGGATGCACAACTTGACAAAAACAAGCTAACACGGTGGCACCTGATAGAGTCTTCCTCCCCAAGCCATTCGTTGTTTGTCCCAGTTAGGCTAGTTGGCAGGGATCAACTTGACTATATAGTTGTACAAAGCAGTCTTGGGCTGCGCATCGGACTGGCGTCCTGCTACTCTCCGGACCCAGTCCCTGGCGGATCGTCTACCCTCCATGGGCCACCCGCCCATTGCCCATTCCCTTGCAGGTGCCAGACTTGCGTGCGCCCGAGATGTGCGGCATCGTGTGCTCCGACGGAAAGACCAAGTGGTTCCCTCGCTCCGACGAGGCCCCGCGCATCCGTGGGGAGAGCCCCACGCAGGGCGGTGGCGGGGAGAGGTACTGTATAGGGAGCTGCCCCGGAAAGTTGGCCGCAGGGCGGTGGAGGATGTGCGGAAAGGACCAGAAACGGTCACAGATTCTGTTGACTCAATCTAGAATACTCAGCATGTTGGCCAACCTGTCTGATGGCACACCAGTTTGCAGAAGAAGAAGAAGACAAGAATGATGTTTCCTTACAGAGGCCTTATTTTTGCTCTTCCTCCATGCTCCCTTGCTTGGACTCCAGGTGGCTCATAACGCAACCACCAGAGCAGATTACCTGCGTCAGACGACAACAAGGATGGTGGTCGAAACATAGATGGTGAGATCCTCTAGCGTTTCCCAGCTCCCGCACGGCCCGCACGTCCACTCCCAAGCTAGCGACTACAGCTTTTTGGACCGTTCGTTTTGTGAGGGTCCGATAGCTCGAATGATGACCCTCTCTCGAATGTCCTCATGGTTCAGTGGACCTGGCCCCTGGAAAGACCATGAAATCCGAATACCAAACAGGGAGTTGATGTCCACGCAACCACGTTCACTTGCAAGGAGGATACCTATGATACCTTCCTTGATACCACGAGGTGTGAGCCTTTTTCCTGTTCAAGCCACTTCAGGTGCTATCGGATGGTGACTTCATGATCCTTGCCCAAGGAAGTGCAGCGAGCCCCAGGGCCTCTGAAGCGCCGGGGGGGGCGCTCTGTGTTGGTGGGGCATTTTCGACACGGACGGGTCATGGGTTTATTCTCAATATTGGGGAAGGTGACGGAAGCCACATACAAGAGTGAGTTGGAACATGTTGGACCATAATTCATTTGTTGGAAAGGCAAAACACCTTGCATGAACAAAAAAAAGTTCTTTTAAGCAGAATTCAGTCCCGATCCTGAGCTGGATTCAGTCATCGTTCATCCCTATAGCAGTGGAGTCGACCCCGGAAGTTACAGTATAAAGTGTTTGACCGCTTAGGGCCCTTCCCCTAGCGATCCACATACCCTTTGAGAAGGTGATTGGAGACACTGTTATTATGTAGGTTTGGAGAGATCAATTACCTTTTGAGAAGGTACTTAGATCCCTAGGGCTGCAAAAGCGCCTGGTTTTGGGAGAGGTTTCCTGTACCTCATTGGCAAAATCTGGTCGATCTGAGCTTTTCCTGTGGGAACCTCTGGGAGCTTCCACGAATAGCTGAATGTCAATTCCAAGGGAACTTGCAAAGGGGTCCTTGCGAAAATGTCCGGCAAACAACCGAAGAACAAAGGGAAAACAAGTGTGCATGAAACATAACCTACATTTGGGAGACTCATCCAATGGTTTCCAATGGTCTCTATTTGCTTGGCGAGCATGACATCTTTGTGATGTAGAACCTGCGAGTCACTAACATGGAAGTGGAACTCCAGTGCACCTGTTCGTAAATCATCATTCAAGGCGAAGGGATGATTTTCCACTTCCATCCCTATTTCAGGGGGTGTAGGTGGCGAGAAAGTCGCAACACCGTATGCCCTCAAAGAGTGATACAAGAGGTCAGATAGAGCAGATATATCAAGACTTTCAGCTGCGGATGGCCTGGAGTACCCCGAAAACCTTCACCACAGGCATCAACGAGCGCCTGTTGCATGACCTGACACCCATTTGGAGTCGATGTTTGCACGACGATGTGTAATCGACCGAACTCTGGCTCGAATCTAGATCTGAGACCGAACCGGAGTTTGTTTGCTTTGTGCTGGTTTTTGCTTGGCAAAGTCTTGGTCGCCTAGTCCAGGTGGTTATTCCAAAGGAGGGTGGCTAATTGTTAAGATGAAGTATGACTGCCAACTCACGTCAACATGTCTTGTCCCATTGGCACGATTCTATTGGCGTGGTCGAAGAAGAGAGGTGACAATCCTTTCGCATAAAAGAGCTCGATTGTGATCCAAGTGAGAGCTCCTGATGTTTAGATGTTGACCCCAAATCCCCAAAGAATGTCACAGTAGATGCGTTGTTCGGAACAGAAATGATGCAGAAACATGCTACATCACAAAATTACTGTCTTAAAGAACACAGAAACGTTCTGTGGAATCGAACCAAGACAACGAACTCCACATCTAACTCCGAGGAAAGGGGTTTGACTGTTAGACCTTTTTTCCTCCTTCGTTTTGCTCTACCTCATCTCGACACGGCCAGACACGGTGGTCGGTCGGTGGCCGCTGATGCCATGGCGCGCCAGGCCAGGTGCAGTATTCCCGGGAAAGAAGGACTCTACACTCAAGTCATACAGTATGAATCAGTATGATACAGTCATCCTTTCTATAGAGTCAATGAGTAGTATAATTACATCTAACAGCATCTAACATGGTACCAAAAAGGACACATATGCAGAACATACACATCAAATAGTTATGGTGAAACCATTGCAAGCTCAGTCCATGTGTTTGTTCATGTTTTTTATGTGTTTCTTGTTTGGTTCATTGTTCCGATCGAATCCACTTATGTACTATTTCAAGATGATTGTTGTTCCATTGGACAGCACCCAACTCAGATTAGCACACGTTTTAAATGAATAGGGTTTCTTTGAACATGTGCCACAGGAACAGGCAAATGTTCAATCATGAGTGGTACGGTATGTACAATCCCACTATGTCCTAGCCAGTTTCACATGATGCCCGGCCCCTCCTGCCCGGCGAAATCTGGGCAACTGCGGCACCTGCCTAACCTCATGTTTGATCGATTCTGGGATTACATGTGCTCAAGGTGTAGCGGTTCAAGGTGTAGCTTAAGGTGTACCGAGAAATCGGATGCTGTGACTCCCGCACACGACCGATGGGACTGACATATTTACCACACATTGGGTCATATATGGACCGTGTGTGGACCATGGAGTGGTATATGGCCTTAGACCATGGACCTGTGTGGAGTGGACCACCACCGATGGGGTGGTTTCAGTCATCGTCGGGACGTAGGCTGTATGCCAGTCCGAGGTGCCTGGGACTGGAACACAGCACCACCGGTGTTTGGAACCCCAAAAAAGATCCGCCGCCCGCCAAAACATGGTTTTGTCTTTGGGTCTTTGGACTCAACTATAGGCCTTGAAGTGCAACTAAAACGTTCCCAGCAATTTTCTGTGATGAATCTCTGGAGGCTTTGGCTCTGTTTTCCAGTGGCCTTGGCCGAATTGGATGTGCTCCTCTTGCAGAAGGAGACGTAAGAACACGCTTCGTCCGTCCGTTGCCACGGTCGCAGTCGAAGAAACCACGATTCACTTTATGACCTAAGAACCTTCTATTGGAGCAGGAACATATATTACGCGGCCAAGTAGTCAAATTAGATGAATGTCATATTCTACGCCACGCAAGAAATGTTCACAGCCTCAGTCTGACGAGAATATTATCTTTTCTTTCCCCTACACCCCTCCTTCCCCTACACCGCTCCTGAAATCGAAGGAAGGACACCGACACCGGGAACTCGTTTCCTTCGTCCAGGAACTCCGGCTGGACCGAAGCGTCTCGAACGAGCCCTGCGAGGACGGGAAGCGGCCGGGCGCGTCACGTGGTCCGTCGTTGGCTCGTGCGACCGGTCGGCGAGCTTGGTTCAATCTGACATGATGTGACCAAAGTGGTTCTCCCTCTAAAGACTTATGAGCCTTTGCTCCTTAGTAGCTTCTTGTTTCTAGTAGTAAGGCCAGGAGCCCCGTTCGTAGCGTCCTTGCTCCGTTCGTAGCGATGCCAGGAGCCCCTAGTAGCGAACATTGCTCTCTAAAGACTTAGGAGGCACAAGTGTCTGGCGACCAAATTGTGACACCCTTCCTTTAACGACAAAGGGTGGAGCGCCTCGCCGTTTCATGGAACTGCATGAAGCTCTGGACGACTGAACCTGGGATCTAGCCTTGGGGAATGAGGACCTTGAGGAGGTCACCTTGTTAGCTGCAAGATGCTGCTGGGGGGTCTAAAGGGGACTATTCCAGAACAAGAGTTGAATATCAACTAAGAACAATGAGTCATAGACCAATCAGTGGCAGTGTACTCTAACTGTGCCAGCCGTGGTATCCCAGCTTCAAGAAATGGTCGTGGCTCCGCTGGTGGGTCCACAAAATCCCATCCAAATCCACTGTCCCACCCGACGATCAACAGCTCACCACCTGCCCCCTTTAAGTCTCCAAAAAGCCTCCAGAAGAGACTTGAAGGCTAAGCCCGTCCGGGAAAAACCTCATACTCCACCTTCCTGAAGACTGAGTTCGAACGAATGCCTCCAAAATGGCCCTAGCCCAATTTGATCCGTGCTGCTTTCTCGTCGCCGAGATGGCCAGGAGCGCTGCGTCCCGGCGGTGTGGGTCGTCCCTCGGACACGGCCTGGACGATCTCGACAGTCCGAGATCGAAAGCGACCTCCGACGGAGATCGAAAGGTTTCAAAAGGTCACGCGATTGACTCCAAGGATCTCCAATGTCGATCTCGATGGAGGGTGATCCCAGTGGTGATCCGCTTTGTTTGGTGCATGGCTGTGGGACCTAACGGTGCTCAAGATGGGGAGAGTGCTAGGAAGACCCAGAGATTTATGATATATATAGGTCATATAGGTGCATATAGGTGCTGATTGTGAACATTCAGCACCGAGGTCAGCGCCGGGCGTAGCGGGAGTACGACTTTGCTGGAGATGTTGAATCAAATACCTGGCTATGAGATCATGGGCGAGAATCAGCGGCCTGAAGAGAAACACCTGGCGAAGGTGATTGAAAAGGTGGTGAAGCAGGAAACCACCGCTTTCAGAAGACAGGTTGACAGATTGTTGAATTTTTGGAAGGGGAAGCGGTTTGAAGTCCAGTCAAAAGGTTACCTTCTTTCCTCCTTCCCTTTCTTGGGCAGACTTAGTGTGGCTCTCAAAGAAGGCAAGAATGCATTTGAAGGAAAAGACTAAACTTAAAGGATAAGTGGAGGAAATCGTTCGCACCAAACCAGTGGATCAGTCGATGAGTGTCCAAGCCTCACTTTAGAAGCAATAGATAGGGGAAGGTGGCCAGCTAGGACTCCTTGGATGAAAGGTCCAGAAAAATGACATCGTATTTTCGCTTTTCACACCCGTTGCCTCCGCCTGCTAAGGAGGCCGGGGAAATAAGGTTTAACACATGATGTAAAAGCAACATACTTCCATGGTCCATGGCGGCAAGGAGTGTACTCCGATATTGTTGCCCAGATCCTAAAATCGGGCCCACCGTGCCACGACCCGTCAGCCATTGCTTTCAGCCAATACCCTATTGCTTTGTCCATGCATTCATGCCTCTTGCTCACATCAAAGCTCCACAGTAACATAAAATACTTTATTGAGGCCAACTACCACGACCCTCCCCAAAACTATAATATATATATATACACACACCACATTGAGCAGAAAGATGGGCGTCGTATTCCCCGATGTGGAGTTGCATCTATCATCACCCCGCTTTAGCTCCTTGGATCTTCAAGGAGTAGGTCCGGTGCCATGTGTGGCCCATGTGTCCAGGATATTCCAGCAAGACATGAAAAGTCATGAACATACAAAAGTGAGTATTTGAGCGACAAAGGCGATCACATGGTGATTGGTTTGAGCGTTGTTTTTGCCCAAAATGATGTGGATATAGTCCTGATATAGTCACAAACAAACATTAATTTGTTGCTAACAAAGCATCTCATCTGAGCACTTTTCCATTTCCAAGTCAAAATACAGTTGTTTTACTAAAGATTGTTTTACTGTTTTGCTGAAGTCGAGTTCTTCTTCGAGTTCATCGACCTCCTGAGAAAAGAAGTCTGCTGTGTGTGTGCGTTCTCCAAAACCTTGTAAATTAGACAAGCAGAGCAAAGAATCTAAAACACGTGTTTTGGAGAACAGCGAAAAATAAACAAAGAAAGACATCCAGTATATACATTTAAATAACAAAAAGTACACTCCGGGTTTTGATACAACCCCCGAACGTTCCTCTACAAAAAACACGGCGTGCCAGATCGTTTTTTCGGCATTCACTCGGTCACGCCTGCCACGGTCCTCGGTCAACGTCACCTGACCATGGCCATCTGACATCAGTCCGATGGTGCAACCTGAGAAGGTCGTTACAGATCTGGAATGATCAGCTTTTAGGATGATCGAAAGATCCCTGGATTTTAGGGATTGTACATCCTGGGATTCGATTTATACTCAGGAAAGGGGTTCCATCCAGGGAACATCCTTGTGCCTTTTTGGCCATTTTTGGAGCTGCACAAGGGCGTTCCATTGCCCTCCTAAGGGGTATGTGGGGCTCCTTATTCGATTTGGCAGAGCAGCGGAAGAAGATGGCCCCTCCGGCAGGAATAACATGGAAAGTCGGGGTGAATGTATGGAAGTGTCGGAAGTGTCACTGATTATTGACCTACAAGACGTCTGTCGGGTGTGTTTTGTGAAGATATATGCTATGCCGCTATGCGCGATCCAAGCACGTCCTTGTGTTACTGTAGTGAATTTGTTCCCATGGATATCGCCTTAACCTGCCACGATTGGCTTTAGGAGTTCTTCTGTCGGACAGTGACTCCTGAACCACCACAGAGATTTCTTATGGATCCACCAGTCATGCGAAATACCCACGAAGGTGGGATCGTCCATCAACCATGCATATATAAGGGGTGCGAGCAGAATATGTGGAAAGAATTAATCATAATTCATCCCTTCCTGGAATAAACATCACCAGAACCCTTGGGCTGGTCGTGAGCGATACATCATCACAAGAGTCACAAGAGGAGTTTAGGAGTCTATGGAAGGGCCTTGAGCCCAATACAACCCGCTTATCAAGTTTGACACGGAAAATCCTTCCGCCCAGGTCAAGAAATACGAAGCTTCTGCGGAGGACAGCTGAGGATTTCAATGCAAAGTTTTTTGCTGCACTTATTCAGTCAACCTGAAATAGCTAGGACTTTTATCCCTGGTCCACTGGGCAAGAAAGATTTCTATACAGCAGGGTTGTGTTCAGCGCCCATGTCACATGTTCGTTTCCACCATGACCCAGTTCAACGGGTCCACGGATATTCGGATGGTCGGATGGTCCTCGGATGCGTCGGATCTGACAACACACCGAAGGCCTGGAGAAGCTGGGAGAGACGCAGACCACTTGTTCAGCTCGAGACCACTTGTTCAGCTGGGCGAGACCGGTTTGGGACCGTAGGGACCATGATGAAAACAGCTCAAGACCTGTGTGATCCATCGGAGTGTAATTCTTGCAAGTACCAGTAGTTTTCATGGATCATGGGATCATGTGCACTTCTCTATCCTCCATGGATAGCACATGTCTCATCATGTCTCCCTCCGAACTGCACAGCACCTGAACGACTTTGCGACAAGCCCTGCACTTTGAGGGCCCTGAGAGTCGCGCGTTTTCTGCGCAGTACTTGATGTACCGCCAAAGCGAGCAGAGGAACATGCCCCTTGGAGAAGTCCACGTGACCGGTTGTCTTATGTTGTCTTATTTTTCTGGCAACGGCTCCAGGGTCAGTGGTTTCGGAGCATGGGTTACTTCATGTTACTTCCCATGGGCACCAAAAGAGAAAACAATGGTCGGAGGGATGTTGACCTCAGAAAACAATTTTCAAAACATGACGAAGACTTCAGGCTCTTCTTGCTTGGAACGCAGCCTTGATCCATCACACTCATCATTTGAACTTCAACGATCTCCGTTTTTGACGTCGCTGAAAGCCTCTTGAGATCATTCACTTTGGACTTGTAATGTGTGCTGCGTTCTTTTTCAGAGTTGCAGTCAAATGTTTCGGCATGTTGTTTCCATATCATCATAATTCAACATACATTTGCTGGGTCGTTCGCAGGGTGTTTGTGGACTTCCTCCAAACCGTGGAAGGCAGACCCGCTACAACTGGGTCATACCGGCGTCGCTCTCCCCCGAGTTTTCCGTCGCTTCGCCTCAGGTCGCAGCTGCGATGTGCTTTTCAGCTGCGCGTGCTCGGGGAGATCAATCCGGACACTCTGTGAGCACGAAGCGTTTGTGGTTTTTGTTTGCGAAAGGAACTGGCGCTGATTCTTGTTTCCATGGCGGGATGAAGCCAGGAGAGGGTGTGTTTCTGCGCTCGGAGCAACTCCCATACACTCCATGTATGCAAGCATATACCTTGGGGTGGTTTCGGGGGTGAATGTAATGTAGGTAACGATGCCATGCCATACATGGAGTTTTTGGGTCCGTAGACGAACAAAGCTCTATTCCGCAACTCTCCATTCTTCTGAAACTTTTCTTCCGCAACTATTTGGTACTCTTCCGCAACTACTCTTCAGAAACTATTTCGCGATCTTCAGAAACTATCGCGATCTTCAGAAACTGATTTGCATGCTTTAGAAAGTATTCTTCAGAACTTTTACAATATTGTAACCAAATTGCGTGAAGGAGCGCTGGGTGGGTGGGGGGTATATATACATGCCTATTTTGCGATCTGCAGAAACTTTTATCGTGCAGGTTTGATGTTGCTCTTCGATTCTTCGTAGCTTCCGAAAAAATCTGAAGAGCACCGTACAGTTTCCGAAGATTAGTTTCCGAGGAAATCTGAGGAATAGTTTCCGAAGAAAACCTTAAACTTTCCGAAGATCACTTTTGAGTTGCCGAAGATAAGTTTCCACAGAAAAGTGTCCGAAGAAGACCGTAAAGTGTCCGAAGGTTTGTTCCCGAAGAAAACCGTAAAGTGTCCGAAGATCACCCTTTAGTTATATAAGTTTACGAATAAAACTTTGACCGTGGGTAGACAATCATATTCCCTTTTAAACATCACTGAGTCAAACCACATTGAATGTATCAGCCTCATGGATGCCATGTTTCACAGCTGTGTCAGCTTGTTCCGAGCTCAATCCCAGAATCTGGCTGGATGGGCAGTGTTTGAGTTTTCCGCGTGCACCAACTTCACGAGCAAATCCTGATGCCTTCAGTTGCTTTGCCTGTTGGACACTTTTATTAGCATCTACCATGAGTTTGAGTGCACCATTGGAAAACGACATGAACAAGATCAGGATCAACAACCCAACTTGTAATCACTCACTACGTGATGGTGAAAGTTTTCGAGATATCCCAATTTAAAGTGACCGTGCACAACAACAAAGGACTGTTTGCAAAAAAAACATCAAATGGCCGCCTTCCTTTGTGACCTGCAATTAGCGGCACAAGTGACGCGAAAAAAACTGGAGTATCAAGAGATCAAATCCTCCATTCAATGAACAGCGACTGAGGATTCCAACGCTGAGGTTGTAGGCTTCAAGGCGTGTCCGACGGATGAATGGATGGATGGATTGATGGATTATGACTGCACTAGGACTCCAACCACCATTGATATTATGTGTTTGTTACCAAACAACCATTGTTTTACTGAGGATTTTACACTACAAAACCAGGTCAAACCATTGTTCAAAATAGTCGTAGCCGGAAGGCGGCTGGGACTGTGCATGATGACGGGAGACCACAGATTTCGGAACTCAGTGTGCTGCCGAACATGTTCGACACGACCTGTCTGGGACTGGCACGTTGGGCTGGTTTGGAGGCTCAAAGTCAAGTCGAAATCATGTTCCATACATGGAGTGTGTGGGATAGGATCAGAATTCTATCGCTCTCGCTTGGATCTCGCTAGCGGGTCTCGCGACTGGCCGCGCCACATTCGTCGATGGACCCGTGGAGAGTTTCGGCGGTGCCACCGGTCACTCCGGGCCACGGTCGCGACAGGAGATCCGCTGGGACTTCGAGCGGGGCCTGGGGGACTTGAAGCTTCTCATGGAGGCCTGGAGGACTTGAAGACCAAAGTGGCCAAAGGCAACAAGATGCTTCTTGTTACTAGTTACTAGTAGCGATGCCACGAGCTACTAGTAGCCTCTTGCTCCTAATAGCGATGCCCTTTGCTACTAGTAGCTTCGTTACTAGGTTGAGGAGCTTTCTGTTCACCGCCTGGGGGTACCAATATCTATCACCATTCCTTTTTTAAGTGGGCTCAGGACTTCGAATGGGTTCTGAAGCCCAACAAATTGCTGATTCCCTCTCCGCCAACTTTCCGGAGGTGTTCCGATTCGTCTGAGAAGGACGCTGTTTGGCTCAATGTCCTGGCAGTCGGGTGGCACCAAGGGCGGAGGGCTGAGCCGTAGGTTGTACATGTGCATTCGGACGTGCCTTGGCAGGTCTTTCCCTGTTCCATGGCCTTATTGAGCTATCGCAGCCTGGCAAGAAACTCATGATCACATGATTTTGTGTTCTATGTGCAGCACTTCCCAGTTTCGTTGTTGTTTTTTGATTGGCAGATTTGTGATGATAATGACAAAGTCATACTTGTGCACCAAACTGGAAGGTGTCAGGCCTTTCAAATGAATACCGCTGGAAGGTCATGATTCATTTTCATGATTATTAATCCTTTGCTATGTTCCCGAATCCTTCCTGTTGATTCATCTCAAGTCCATCCTTGAGAAGGTGGGCCAGGAGTGGGTTTCCAGAGTTTGAAAAGCAAGACTGAGCAGTGGAGGTGGGGCAGTCCACCGGCCGATGTTTGGACAAGCAGATGAGTTCCCCTGATGGCACGAACCCAGAGATTCATGAAGCGGTTCCACGCAGCGACCTCGCTCTGTGACCAATTGTGCCAAAGAAGAGGCACTGAGGTCGGTTTTTTGAGAGCTGAGGTCGGAATCTCAAAGCCGAAGCACAGTCCAGGCAGGGCTTTAGGGCTTTGTTTCTTTTAAGCCATGTAACAATGAAAAGTCCAGAGCCACAATAAGGTACCCAAAGGATCGAACCCAAGACGAGAAGACCCAGGCCATGCGTGACCCAGGCCATGCATGGCCTGTGAGAAAGGATCGGATATGGAAGATTATGGAAGATGGTTTTCTGGTTCCTCCAGTGGTGGTCTAGTAGTGTCCACGTAGTGGTTCTTGCAAGGATAATAAATCTGCTTCGGAGTTTCTTCTTGGTTTTCTCAGTCTTCCTGACGCTGGCCACCCTGAAGCGGAAGGGAATGAGTGGGATGCTAGGTTCCAGGTTTTGGCACCTGGGACTCACTTCTTTTTCCACCGGACGTCGGACGTCCGAAGAAAAGTGGTTGAGTGAAAAAGGAAGTCATCCACCTAGAAGCCTAAGCACATGTAAGCACCATTCATTGAACAGCGTTGTGCAAAGGGTTTGGGACCAAAAAGTCACATGCTTTGATGGCCTTGCTGCGATGGCAAGCCCACGGACGTGAGTTGAAACGGCCGTCGTGCGTTGAAACGGGGACTTCATGGCGCTCTTTGAAGGGTCCGTGTCCAATGTGAAGTTGGGAGACATTTGCTCCAGCCAAGATTCGTTGCTCAACTGTAGCCCTGCTATGCCCTGTGGCCCTGCTTAGTTGGAAGGATCAGTCCAAGCCATAATGATTCCCCAAGCTTTGACCATGAATGGCCTGAATGGCCGATGTTTTTTGGTTTTTCTGACGGCAACAATGGCTGTGTTCGATCCTTTGTGAAGCGCTTCATGGTAAGGGCTTAAGTGCTTCCTGTCGATGGACCCTAGTTGAATGCAATATCCCAGCGGTGTTATCCAAATACAGTGGGTTTAGTGATGCCGGTGGTTTTCCTGGCACGAACCCTGTGCGATTATGAGATCATATATTATATGGATGACCTTTTAATAATGTTCATCACCTCAGCAAAAAGTGCTTGTTGCATGTTGTTGCCAATTCTAGACCGCCACTCGTCAGCTCTCGTCAGCGACTCGTGATCCCTTCTCGTCAGCGATCCCTTCGTTGATCCTCATCGGGTTTTGGTCGGGTATCGAATCCTCCCTGCGAGGCACGAATCCCTGGGTGCCTTTCCTGAGTCGAATCTTCGCAGAGACAACGAGGCGGGTCCGACCGGGTCCCGGTGGTTCCGCCGGTTCCGTGGTTTGGACATGGTCGCACTGAAATATACTGCTAGTAACAAGGGCATCGCTACTAGGAGCAAGGACACTACTAGTAACAAGGGCATCGCTACTAATCGTATTAGTTTGGCTCGCCTACAGCTGCTTTGATTTGTGTCGAGGGTGTCAAGACGTTTCAAGGTTGTCAAGGGCAATCAACTCTTCCTTTTCATTGCAAGGCACTGTTGATATTCAGCACTGCTTATTGGGCGGTTTGGATCAACCAAAAGCTCTCGGAGCTTGCTATCCGATCTATCATGATCTATTTGCTTTCGTGACTGGATGCAGACGTGGATGTCCGCCCGTGGCAGAAGACCCGGACGTTTGATGATTGGCTGGTGTTGCTGTCTAAGTCCTCCAGGAAAAACTTCAACATTAACTTCTCAGTCCATGATTGTCCAAGTGTCACTTCTCCAGCTATACGAAAAAGCCGTGGTGCTTGACCTTCCAGTGCTTGACCTTAGTATTCCCCTTTATGGCGCTTCGCCCACGAGCCTACCGAGCCTTCCGAGCCATCTTCCATGCGCCGCTTGTTTCACGCCGTCTTAGGCCATGCTCGGGCTGCATCGGGCGATGCCCAAGAGGACCTTCCTGATGGCGGTGGAGGATTTCTCCGTTGCCTCTCGGACGCAGACGGCGACGAAGCTCGAAGTGATAGTGAAGTGAGCCAGGCGAAGTCCGAGTCCGAGTCCGCGTGTGTTTTCGAACAGCGCTGGGTGCAGCGACCACCTGTTTCGGAGAGCGAGGGTGTTCGGGTCGAGAGCGAGCTTGGATGTGTGAAATATAGATCAAATTCGCAATTGAATAGATGGAGCTTCGCCTACCAGTGCCTTGGCGTTATCAACCACTGTTCCACGAGAAAGAAAACCATCGTTTTGGGGTTCCACCCGGCCCAACAACACCCTCCGTGCGAGGGCGGTCGCCGACCTCGGTGATGTCGTCGACCCCGGTCGGTGCCAAACACCGTAGCCAATGGTGGCAGGCCCTGTGGATTGGAAGAAAACAATAAAGAAGACCAATATATACACCCTGCGTAGGCTTCGTAGGCCCGGTTTTTTGGCCAGTTGCCACACGCAGAGATTGCCATGAAGACATGTTCTTCTATGTGGTGATGGCTACAACATGCTACAATTCACATTGACAAAGCCACTGGTTTTTTGGAGATCAGAGGCCCCAAGTCTAGCACCAGACGGGCCAAGGCCTTCTTTAATCAGATGCTGGACTTCTTGGGCAAGAAGGACTGGGCAGAAGGTGTGCTTATTGCCCACACTGTCCAGAAGATCGTGGCCTATCCAATGGATAGCAAAGTAAAATGTATCAACTATTCGTCGAATATTGGTTGAACTGCTTGCGTGGGACACATTTTTGGGGGGTCAAAAATGCGAGGTAACTCAGCAACCCTTTGATTTGATGCTTCGTTCCTATCTTGGGCGCAAAAACACGCACAAATCGGATCAACTTATTGAAGGTCTCAGATAGGATAGAGAACTGCTCAACGCCTTGGGTGCCTGCGTTGGGGCACCAGAGTCACCGCTCACGGCTGCTGCGTGTGTGGAGAGGACTGCAGGTACACGGACGTCTTGCATGATAACGCCGGCTCCAGTGGCTCGGCGAAGAGTGCGACAAATGAAAAAACAACAAGCTGATAGGAATGGTGAACACACGGATTGAACGGATGTCAAGATTGTAAAGACGTTTTGGTGTGGTGGATGAATCAATCATGTTCAGGATCTCCATTCAAGAGATGGGCCATGAGGATGATTAATATGTTCAATCATTGCTCAAAGGGGATCCAGCATGTCTCACTTTGGGGATGGACATGAGGAGGTTCCAGAATAAAAAAAAATAGGTTGCGATCACCCAAACCAACTCGCGTTTGGCCTCCACGTTCGCACCTCAGGGCCCCAAACCACATGTTCGCGGGGTACCCGATACTATGCAGAAAGGAACGACTACAGTACAAGACGAAACGTGGCCAGCCACACGGACCACCGGTTTAAGACACGGTCAGTCTCCGGCGTGAATGCGTCAGTAGAATTGGGAGCGCATGTTTCTACCATTTCAAGACAAAGATTTCAACGAGTCGAGTGACGAACACAGTTTTTGACCTTTTGGCAGTTTTGGTAGAGTTTTTGACCTTTTGGTACTCTACCAGTCGAGTGGTTTTTTCAATTGCTATGGTAGAGTAAGGAGCATCGCACACAGTATTCTGTGTGGAAACCAAAGACATTTCAAGACGAACATTCAAAGGATAAGGCTGATTGGGTAAGGATGAATAACGAGCAAGGTTTTCTATCAACATTTTGGCGTCGGGCAAAAACGGTCTTGCAGAGATACCTCCTATCCTATCAAGCGATTATTATAACCCAAACAGACAAGGGAAGATGCTCCTGTTCTCTTGTAATGATGAAACATCTGGCACTTCATTGTATTTTCTAATAACAAACAACTGCGCGAAGGTTGTTTGCCGGGGGCAAATACTTCTAGCTTCTGGTTTTTGGATCTTAGTATCTCAGGAATCAAAGGCAACTGGCAGGGTTTGTTTCTTACCCCCATTGTAAATCCATATTGGCAAAAAGGATCCAAAGTGAACCGCATAATACATAGCAAGTTCACACCAAGTTATACCAAAATCGTCCATACGTTGCGATCACCGAAACACGGGCGGGAATAAGCCACGGTCGCTTATCCCGCCACAGAGCCATTGGTCATTTGAGTGCGGAACCGACCAATGCCTGTTCGAAAGCAGGGGCATTTTGACTGGTCTTTCTAGAACAAAAACACCCTTGTGGTCCTACCAAAGGTGAATGGCAGGGCTGCATGCGCATTGCGAATCGGATATCTTGTGTTTTTTGAAATGCAAGTCTGACGTGGTGAGTCTTGGTGGGGCCCCCAGTGGTTACGTTGTCAAGATATGCCATGATCATCCATGATCGGTATTCGAAGTACATGCGCAATGCGCAAGAACGTGTTCCCATGTGTTCCCCGCGTATTTACAACGTGCATTTTAAACTAGCAACAGGTTGGTTCAGGTCGACATGCAAGCTGAACAGAACATGGAGAGCTTGGCTCTGAAAAAAAAAGCTTTTTGACCAAGGCTATACCCACGACTGGTTTGGCACCAGGACGGGGGCTGACTCCCCCAGGGGTCCGCATGAACGTCGGTTGTTTGTTTTGTGGATTGCCGGAGTTTGGTGAACTCGTACCACGTTCCATACTGACGCGACGGTCACGACTCTACTTGTCAACTAAGAATTCAAGGACCATGGACTGGTGTCATGTGTGTTCTGCATTGAGAGAGTCTATCAATATGTTGTAATGGATGATCAGTGAATCTTTGTTGTTGGCCAACAGCCTGAAAGACAAGACCTCGACGGGCCCCAACCATTGATTGCTTAGTCAGTGACAATGCCAAGTTCGGTGGTTGGCAGAAAAGACACCAGATCTGTGGAAGGCACGTATTGGGGCTTTTTGGCGCATTCTCCAAAGCATACCATGCATAGATTTGACAAGGTCTCAAAATCGCAAGGTCTTAAAGGAGGGAAATAGGTGTTCAGCGTTCACATGTGTTTACCCTGGTTTTGCTGATCAGATGGTCTGCAAAATGCAAACGAGCTCCCTGCACGGCTTAATGCAGGTAGGCATTCTGACACTGAATCGAACAGTTTGGGTGACGAACTATGCTGTAACTAGCAGCACTGAGCACATACACACACACGAGCCACCGCAAATCGCTTGTAGAGGATGTCTACATCCATGCATGTTTTCGGTTCTTTCCGGATCCGTTCAGTATGTGGCCGAAAGCATTCACTGCTCAGAGGTAGACCTCCAGAAAGCATTCATTTGGATGGAAAACTCTCGCCTGAAAGACTGACAACATGGCATGTGTTCATTTAACGGGGGCATGCTCTCACGAGGGCAGACAGTCAGCCAAGCCTTCGAGGAGCTTTGACATCATCAAATGCAAGGGCAAGGAGTGAGTCAGTCGCAGGCAGCATGATGCAGTTGCTTCTTTTGTCCAGCACGCACATGACAATTCAAGCTCCTGTAATTAATTAAGAATCCTGTGTTTCTTGAAGTACACCGGAAACCATCAAAGTCCTCAAAGGTGTACAATTCCAAAACTAGGCCCAATTAGTTCAGAACAAGACATTGTTGTTGTTCTTCCGAACCTTTGGAGGCCATCCTTGTGTCTCAATAACGCTGGAGCACTCCGAAACTGCCCTCCCGGCAAGGGTTCATGCGCATGTGCATCATGTCGTGTTTGTCGACAAAGCAGAAACAAATAAAACAACCAGTCAACCAATAGTTGCAAGACACCCCCCTTGTACCCTCCAATAGTAGGCCTCCCCTGTACCGGAACTGGAACTGCTGGATTGTTCAGACGTCCTCTCTCCACTGCGGACACCGATGCATCGGACGATACAAGTTCTCTAACGCGAAAGCAACAAACACGATGTTTCTATATGGTGCTATGACTATCACTATGTTTCTGGACTGGTTTCTATGTCTATGGTGCTATAACATAGTGATTTTGGCAAGACTATCACTACATCTTTCTATGGTGCTGAAGTAGTTGCTTCATGTTGCTTGGTCCACCCAGCGGAAAAAGACATCCGGGAGATCCAAGAACCGACAAATTGATAGTTGGGAGATGTTGGGAGAGTAGATTCAACCTGCCTGAAACCAGAGCAACATGGACGAAGCAACTGCTTGGGAGTGCTTTCATGTTCGAATTCCCTTATATTCGTTCTGTGGGCAATGACCTCCCAGCCATCCTTCATCCCACGTGCTTGGCTAGATCGCGTCGACCCGTCCAAATATGGGGTCAAGGTCTTTCGGGTCCAAAGAAGGCAAAGATGTGGAAGGCACCATAAAGCATCCAAAAATGGTTTAGACTTGGTCGCTCGAGTTGATCACATCCTTCATATTTACATGTGCTAGCTTGCTTTGCTTCATCAGATTCTTTTCAACTTGAGGATGGCTAGAGACTATAGATCTACCATGTGCCATAGGAAGTTGCATCACCCACTGTTGAGTTCCAAATATGTTTTGCCTATGTCTATGTTGTTCTGTCGAGTATGTAAAATACATGGAACGATATGGAACGGATCAAATGTTAGACAGATAACCAGCGTCCCCAAGTGTGTGAGCAATGTTGACATTTTGGACTCTAAGGAGTGACAACTAATCCACAAACACGCATGACAAGAGACTCCAGCACAGGCCCGAACACTACCTGGTGGACCAACTCATGGGCGGAATTGGCGAAATACCCAAGTGTTGTAGAATCTAGCCATGAATGTACATGAGCGCGCCATCTAGCAGTGAAGGCTCGTCAATGAAAGTGCAAAATCCCGGTTGAACGTTCCTGAATGATAGGTAATTACCTTCTTGCCTGGATGCTTGTGCATGCTTGGTAGGGAATGGATGCTTACCACAGGAAAAATATGGGACCATCTTACCTGGAAGGTACCAGGTTGAGTCGATCTTGGCCCTGAAAAAAAGGCGCCCTTTCACGCGGAACTGGCGACACAGGTGCAAGTTTGATCAAAAGAGTTGAGGGTGAGGAGCGATGGTTCGACACCATAAGTATGAAGCAACAAATTGGCAAGGGACTATGTATGTTTGGAAAAAATGTATTCTACAGCTCTTGCTGTTTACCTTCAACCCATGGCTTTAATTTGATACTATCCCGTAGCAGAAGAGGCCTTTGAGGTTGAGACTAACCCATTTTGCTGTAATCATAGATGTTTGGTTTGCGACTTGGGACACGCACATCGGACAACCAAACGGTTCATGAACCAAAGCATATTCAGTCGCTGTCCTGCGGAAGGACACTGAAGTGTAAGATAGAACATGATGCAATGACTCCAAAAAATACTCCATGACATGCTTCAATGATTGAAACGTCGTGGATTCCCCTCCTCACCCTCACCATGTGCTTTTCGGAAACGCCTCGGTACTCACCTTCGCACTAGAAGCGCCACGCCCGGCGGCCGGCGCTTCTCGCTTGAGGTGCGTAACTTCTCGATGCTCCGCGCGAAAGCGCTCTTTGGGCAGAACTGCGTGGGTCCGGGCGCCCAGAGGGGTTTGGTCGTTGGTGCTGGTGTTTTCTTTGGGGGGATATGGATGGATATGACTGACATGACCACTTCAAATCCCAAAGAGACATAAAGAGACTAACAATTTGACATGACGTGACTCGCCCACTTTGGAAGAGTCCTTGGTTTTGGTCAGGGGATTTGGCAGGAAAGACATGCTCATATTTGGCATGGGGATTTGTTGGAGTAATTATAATGAGATATATAATTATGATTGAGGTGTTTATAGCAGGGCATAAGTTCAATTGCGATGGTTCAAATGTCCATCGTGTCCCAAAGAGAGGGTTGGAGCTTGCCCTTGGACATGCTGGCTAGGTTTTCTCTCTCTTCAGTAGGTAAGATATAGAAGACTTGATAGATGAAACCATCCTGCCATGTGTTGAGGCAAACTCCAATCATGGGTATTTCATACCTGAGCCTCAGTACCAGGTAGAGCCTGGGCTTTCTTCAGGTGACAAAGCTTTGCCAAATACTGGGCTTCTTCGTGTGCAAAAATGCAGGAAAGAACATGACCACTTGCAGACCTCGTTGGCTTCTCATTCGGGCAGACCAGATGGTGTCCACTGTAATTCTCCTACGCCACGTATACTACCTGCATCATACATCCCATAAAACAAAGCAAAAGCATCTAAAAGCACCTGGCTACATACATCCCAGACCCCAAACATAACAAAAACGTTGTTCATGAGGTTGCTTCTTCTTCCTTTCTTGTTGCCTGTTGCCTGTTTTAATAGAGCAACACCCCTCTCGGCTTCGTGCAAAAGTTCGCGTTCGCGTTCGCGTTCGCGTTCTTCGCTCCTCAGGCGCCGGCTTCAAGTTGGTCTACGCCTTGGCCCTGCCCGGGCGTCGAAGAAAGTCCAGGCGCTCGGTGCTGTCCGCTGCGCGGCCGCTGCGCGGCCGCTGCGCGGCGCGTGGTGGGAGATGCGAGACGGGTCTGAGGTGGGTTTTAGGTGGTTTTTTTGGGGGGATTGGTCAGTGCCTTTCATGTGTCCATTCTGCAGATCTCAACATATCTCAACAATTACATCTCACAGCCTTTTGGGTTCAGGGCTTGGGTTTGCCCCTCTGAGGTCCTTTGAATGTTGGCATTTGAGTTCTGGGTTGGTGAAGGAGGGGTTTCTCACTTCCAGTGTGTAGCGTCGTCATGCAGTCTCGAATTCTTCCCAGCTTGCCGGAATTCGAGCGGGAAACTTCCAATTTCGCCAATGACCAGCTGAGAATGGACAGATCCTAAACAAGAAGTTGCGGGATTGCCACGTTTGACAGAAATTTCTTTCGCACTTACCCAGCCAAATTTGGGCCATTGGGACACATCGGTACGTTGTTGGCGCCTCAACCACCAGGACCTGGCACTGGAATCCAGCTTGACAGAATCAAGACTACTTGCTTTGGCTCGATGTTATGAGATGTTCGAATGTGTGGTTCATCTCTCCTCAAGAAGCCAAACAGGCAAATGGCATTGAATTTGCTTTTAGCAACTCGCCGTGGCTTTTCTGAATGGCGCTCCTCGTTCCGCTCGTCCTTCCGCTCGTCTTCCGCCCCAGGGCGAATGGTTTGCCCATCTTGACCCCTGCGATGAGTGTGGAGTTCGACGAGCGGGACTACAACACCGAGCCTGGGCAATCGGATGTATGGACCGACCGGTGGTTTTTTGTGTGTGTCCTGACCGGTGAGGGAAGCAAGCGGATGCAAGCGGTCTGCGGTCGTGGTTGCCGTGTGGCACGAAAGTAGTGGACCTTCACCGACCTGCAGGATGCGAGAATTGAGTAGGTCGCATGCCAAGTGCGTGCAAAAGAAACACTTTACTATACTCATTTGAGAGTCCTGTCAAAAGCCTTTTGTTCAACAGGGACAAGGTTGTTTCTTGCTTTGTTCTTAGAAGAAGCACCCTCCAGACATGACATGTGGCACAAGCAAAAGTAAAGATGTCTGGCTTCCCTACAACTGCTGCGAAAGAGCAGAAAGGGGATGCAAGGGATAGGCAAGGAGCGACCAGGATATGATGATATTTGCTCTTTTTTTGTGGTACAGATGACAGATGCCTTAGGTTCCTTGCGGAAACCACATGGGTGCACTCACCACCTACAGATTCACATGGTTACTCGCCCCACTGTTGAAAGAATGCACTGGTCCAGAGGATCAAGCCCGGAAAAATCGCTGGGAGCAGGCCCAAGTCACCCCCGGTCCAGAAAAGGCTGCCGATGTGTTCTCTACGGTTTTGTCACCGTTTGACTTGTTGGAGAGTCGGCGACGAGTACAAGTTGACGTGGGGTGGCCGACTGTTTTGGGGGTCGTGCATGGTGGCACAGGTTGGTTGGTTCCTTCACTTGGACTGAGACGAGTTGTCCGGTGAAATTGGACGAATTGAGCTGAGCAGAAAGCATGATTGTGTCGGTGATCAAGCGGTCAACCGTGGTAGAGGGCTCTGCAAACCTTTGGGGCTTTCTTAACTCTTAGCGTTCAAGGCAGTGTTGCGTATGGCCACCCTTGCATTGTCAGAGGGATATGTGGTCAAAAGCTGTGTATGTTGCGAAGTGAAATGAAATCCCAGGGGCTTTGTTTGGATGAGAATCTGGGTGACGCATATGTTGGTTAGAACCCATGCGGTTGACATTCACTGTTGTTTCGGAGTTGTGAAGCGAAACCTATAAATATATATATATTACTATATATATAATATAATACAGTCATAGCTGGAAGAACAGTGTTCAATCCCAATGTAAGCTGCAGGCGAAGAGACCTTTTAGCTTGAAATATACCGCCCTGGAAATTCAAAGCCCAGAGATGTGGCCATATGCCCTTTCCTCCAAACCTTCCCCCTCCTGCCTCCACAAACCAGGTCTCCTTAAGATTGACGATGAACTCCGATGTCCTTT